CAACATACTTTCTCGATGGCCAGCAATTCACTAAAAATGTTTTTTATAGGTCTTATGAGGTATTCTAATTTATTGAGATAGTGATTTGGTGGGTTTTTGTTAAATGTGGGCCAAAATCATCACAATTACAAGACCCAACGGCTTAAACTACTTCAGTCTGTGTGTACTGAATTTATATAATACATGAGTTTCACTATTTGAGTTGAATCACTGAAATAAATGGACTTTTCCACAATATTCTAATTTATTGAGATGCACCTGAATACACCACACCAGTACATCCACAGAAGAAAGAAACGTAATGAAACTTAAATGCACCTGCTCCCTCTGGCCCCTGAGCTTGGCCATGACCAGCTCCTGTGCTTTTCTGCAGGATATGCGTAATCTACGATTTGCACACAAACAGATGGAGGACACACTCAGGAAGTCCATTTTTGAAGTGCTGATGAAATTTGCGTTTCCTGTTTCCAACGGGCTGGTGAGTGATTCTCAGCTACAGTGTCTCTAACACTGAAGCTCTGCAGTGTTACCAACTGACTATTTTTTTCTCCCTCTCTCCAAAGCAAATCTTTGCCTTTGAATATGGGCAAGTCTTTCCTGAAAATGGATGGAAGGTCTATGACACTGTTTCAGAATACAAAAGACAGGTATCTAAAGATTACCCTGACTGCTTACCTAAGTATTAAAGAAAGCTTGTTAGATTGATTCATTGATTGATTGTTTCTTGGAAGGGTATACCCAATGAAAGCTGGAGGATAACAAAAGTAAATGATCACTACGAGCTTTGTGACACCTATCCGTCAACACTAGCGGTGCCTGTCAACATACCAGATGAGGAGCTAAAGAAGGTAGCCGCCTTCCGAGTAAAGGGAAGGATACCTGTGAGTGACCAGTCTTCAGCAGAAATGTAATTATCCTCTCCCCTGTAGCTGGCTTGTTGGACTGCCTGTGGTGATATTCTGTGGTACTCTGTGTGTAGGTGCTATCATGGATCCATCCAGAGACCCAAGCGACAGTGACACGTTGCAGTCAGCCCATGGTTGGGGTGAACGGGAAGCGGAGCAAAGAGGATGAAAAATACCTCCAGGCGATCATGGACGCGAATGCCCAGTCCCATAAACTCTTCATTTTTGATGCAAGGCCCAGTGTCAATGCTGCTGCCAACAAGGTGTGTTTTCTTATGAAGATTTTAAAAATAAATAGTTATTAAGAGGAAAGTTATCATAATTAATAATATTTTAGGTACATTATGAGTCATTGTCCTCATACATGGAGGTCAGAGGTTATAGTCAGTAAGTCAGTGTGCAGTCACACTGGGACGGGGGTAGGTTTTGCTGATTTGTGCCAAGTGATTCTTAATAACAAACATGTTCTCTACTCATTTCCTCCAGATGAAAGGGGGTGGTTATGAAAGTGAGGATGCTTATCAAAATGCTGAGCTGGTGTTCTTGGATATTCACAACATCCATGTGATGAGGGAGTCACTCCGCAAGCTGAAGGATGTGATCTACCCCAACATCGAGGACTCGCACTGGCTCTCCAATTTGGAGTCAACTCACTGGCTTGAGCACATCAAGGTAAGAATAATGAGCCACCACTGAGAAAATAATGAGGTTAAAAATGAAGATGATCAATTTCTCAGGCTCCTGACCAACTTGTGTGTATCTGTGGGGGTGTGTAGCTGATCCTGGCAGGAGCTCTGAGGATCGCAGACAAAGTGGAGTCTGGGAAAACATCAGTGGTGGTGCACTGTAGTGATGGTTGGGACCGCACAACCCAGCTCACCTCCTTGGCCATGCTTATGCTGGATGGTTACTACCGCACCATTCGTGGCTTTGAGGTGCTGCTCGAGAAAGAGTGGCTGAGTTTTGGTCACCGCTTCCAGCTGGTAAACAGTCTTTCATACCCTTTTTGAAAATTTCAATGTAAAGTCAAACAGCTTTTCCATTTGCATCAGAGATTGTCCTTTACTCTTTCTTTCAGCGAATTGGTCATGGTGATAAAAACCACACAGACGCAGACCGTTCACCTGTTTTTATTCAGTTTATTGACTGTGTCTGGCAGCTGACTCGCCAGGTAAACAATAGCTAACAATGAAATGTGAAACTTCAGAAAAAAAGATCTTTCAAAGACAGTAATGAAGCTGTTTTTATTTAAGTTTCCTGCAGCCTTTGAGTTTAATGAATACTTCCTGGTAACCATCCTGGACCACCTGTACAGTTGCCTGTTTGGGACATTCTTGTGTAACAGTGAACAGCAGAGGTTGAAAGAAGTAAGAGCATTTTTTTCTTAAAACCTTTAATGACTGCAGTTGCTGATACATTTTAATGTAAACTAGAGAAATGCATTTCCTGTTGAAAATGTGTGTGGATGCTGATATGCTGAAAGATTGCCCTGAAAATGCCTGAAATCAATTGCTGAAACAGTTGAAAGATGAGAAGAAATGGCTGAAGTTCTTTGTTGAATAATCCAAAGGATGAGATGCAATAAATACAAGTAGGAATGTCCTTGAAGAGCTGAACATTTTGATACCTGAATGGTTTTTCTAGCTGAAAGTATGCTGGTTTGTAATGCATTCACTGTTATGACAACTACATCTTTATTTTACAGGAAATTCCCAAGAGGACAGTGTCATTGTGGTCTTATATTAACAGCCAGATGGAGGAGTTCACTAACCCTTTGTATGTGAACTACTCCAACCATGTGCTGTTCCCTGTAGTCAGCTTACGCCACCTGGAGCTTTGGGTTGGCTACTACATCCGCTGGAATCCACGCATGAGACCTCAGGTGTGCCAAGAAGCCCGGTTGTTCTTTATGGGCTGGTTAAGGCCCGACTTCAGTGCTTTAACCTGAAATATTTTGCACGCCACAAATATGCCTTTGTTTTCCCAGGAACCTGTTCATCAGCGGTACAAGGAGCTGTTAGCCAAGCGTGCCGAGCTGCAGAAAAGAGTGGACGAGTTACAGCGAGAGGTGACCAATCGCTCTGCTTCCACTTCCTGTGAGCGGCCAGGCTCTCCCACACGCTCCATCACCCCAGTGCAGACTTTTGTTTGACGCAAACATGATAGTTTCAGAGGCAGAGTGCTACACGTGAGAAGGTGCCATACAGCACTAATCAGTATGCCTTATCTGGCACTACAAAGAACCTATGTACCAAACTGCCTCTTTTTGGGTGACGCTATCACAAAAAGTCTGATTGAGCAGATTACTGTATTTGCATCTCTCACAGGTCATCTGCTTGCAAAAGAAGAGTGTCTGTATTGACTACAGCCATATTGTACTCTTCCTCCAGGGTCAAGAGGACATGTAACCAGAATAGTGGGGACTGTTTAGCATAATGGCCTACGTACAATCAGTGTTTATAGTTTGAAGTACACTAAAATATTATTCCAGTTAAATATATATCTTATACATCTCACAAGAACATTCACTTAATTCCTATACACTGCAAATGTTTATTAGATATTATTTGATGAGCTAAAGCAATCGTCAACATGTACAATGCTGCATATATTATTTTGAGGTTAAAACTAGTTCTAACACCAATTTAATGGCTCAGGAGTTGTTAAATATCGGTTTAAAGTGTAGCTAAAGGGCTATAATGTTAGCTTCCTTTAATGTTAAAAGCCATCACAAAGTGCATTAAAAAGGCAGTCTTTACTAGTCCGTGCTTTTAGGTTGTTCTAACCAAATATCTTTTTTATAAATAAATAATGTGTGACATTCCTCTCATTGAATGATTTAAGGTTAGTGAGTTCAATTTTTCTAACTAGTTAACATTATTTATTATCCTTTAGACCAGACTTGTATGTATTTATAGCTCACAAATACATTGTCATGTCATAAATTGATGAGGTGTTCCCATGCAATATTAATAAGGTGCATAGAGTATGCAAAGGTTCATTAGTCCAAGATGACTATCATTTATGCAAGTCTTATATATGAACATTTCTTGCAAATGCTTTTTAAAGCTAGTATCAGCCACTGATTTTTGTAGGCACCACAACACGTGACAGCTAATAGTTTTTTCTTTTGTCTTAGTTGATTAAATGTCTGACTTGCTCTTGAATGATTGTGAGAATATTAAGAAAAAAAATGTGCATAGTTTAGCTGCCAAGATACAGTGGTAGCTAGCTTTTACACTGCATATGTGAATATTTGCAATAAACAGAGGACTCAACTTCAAGAGGTCAGAGTGGCTTGTCATATTAGTGTGGTGTGAACACAAAACCCTCCAATCCATTTCCTGGGTCCATTTCAAATGATAGAGTCCCTGTGACATTAGCATTAATTATCTGTGGTCATGATGGTGATCTTGCCATTACATTAGAAGATAAAAAGTCCTTTAATTATAAATGAAGAAATATAAAAGTGATTTAAAAGTCTGAGGTTTCACACTGCCCTGGTTCTGAAAATATTAGCATCAGTGGGGTTACATTGACATTCTTAAATAACAGATATCTAACCATAAATTGGTTTTAAGGCACCCATTAACAGACGTTTTAGTCCCATGACATGACATATGCCCATTACTGTCACTGTACATTTTTATTGGCACTTACATTGGATTACCCTCCCTTCTCTTTTGGGTTGAATATAGATATCTACAGTAGCTATCAAATAATATTTTTTCAATTATCGAAATTTGGATGACATCATTTTTGTTAGTTGACTGATTATTTAATCAAATGTTTGTTTCAGTGTCTGCAAAAACTGAATAACATAAGTGCAGGAAGAAGGGAGATGACTATGTTGTTTCCTTTTATCATTGTCATACTTACAGGTGCCTGTACAGCACCTGTATGCCAAAACAACTAGACACAAAGACAGTTTCTTCCCCCAAAATCATCACACTGACTAACACTCAACCCATGACTGTATAACAGAATGACAGCCATCAGTGCAAATCCTTGTAAATATACCCTATACTGTATCTGAAAAAATCCATCTAAACTGTGTATTTATATTTATAAGTACTTTATTTTATTTTCCTAATGCTCATTCTTTTCTTGTTCTCTCAGTCTTATCTTGTTTACTCATTGCTTTATGGAAGGCCGTTGTACGTGCACATGTTCCCCCTTTGAGATGTGTTTCCCCTAACCTGAAATCCTACCCTAATCCTAATCATAACCACAGAGGGGTGCACTACTAGAAACACAGGTTTAATAGAGGGAGACTCATCCTGACAGGGGAACAGATTTTGACACAAGACCGGAGTCATATTCCTGGCCAATAAAGCAGATTCTGATTCTGATTATATGGAACACTTGCCTGTGACAGAGGTTGATTTGTTCCTACTGCAGTGTTTTACTCAATGATTAACTGCTTAGATTTAAGAGTAGGTAGGCCCAATCTGTAAATTCAGAGTTTGGATGATCCAAAAATTTAAGATGACATTAATGACTCAGTAATTACATATAAAAGAGCTATTAGCTAGGCAGACTCGGTGGAAGAATAATTATAGTGTCCACATTATATAACTTAAGTTTCAATTATTGTAGTAGTTACCTTGGTGATCAAATAATTCCTTAAAAACTGTCTAAGTCAATGACATGCTCATACATTATGTGGAAGTGTGTTGAATGAATCCAGACATGTGATTGGCTCAGAGTGTTTCAAAATGTGAATCCCGCGGACGGATGTTGTGTCGCGATAGGTTTCCTTTCTTCTTATGGAGTCGCCGGCCACTTCCGGTTTCATGACGACGACGGTGTTGATACAAAAAGAGAGGAGGAAAACAGGAAAATACCTTTCTTGGCGAGAACAGTTGAAACTTAATATAACTAGCCAAGCTGTATTAACGGATTGCTGTGGGGGCGGCATAACTAACGATCGGCTTAAAGTTAGTGTGACTGGATAACGCATGAGCTGTGAACGATCATAGATATTTGGAGTTTATTGTTCTTCGCGCCTGCTCCCTCCAGCTAACGTTCAGCTATTTCTGTGCTGGCCTACGCTACTTAGCCAAGCTAGCTAACGTTAGCTACCGCTAGATGCCATCACGGTTGATGCCCTCAGTTCTCAATTTGACAGCGGTTAGAAAGGAAAGAGAACCACTGATCTGTTTAATTTGCAGCTGGGCTTTGCTAACCTCTTCTAACTTGGTGACATTAGTTGGGCGAGAATGGCAACCTCGGCTCTGTACGCCTGTACGAAGTGTAACCAGCGGTATCCTTTCGAGGAGCTCTCGCAGGGCCAGCAGCTGTGCAAGGTTTGGGAGTGTGCGTGATCGAGGTTGACTGTAAACAAGACAAACATTTCTGGGCTTTTAGAGATTAGAAGTGTGTAGTTGTTCTTGCTATATGGCAGCGAGTTAGCTATGCTCAGATAATATAACAGCCTTTATCTTTCCAACCTGGAAACGTCAATATAGTAACTGCAGTCTTTTTAATGTTAGATCATACATATACTGTATAATTACTAAATGAACATTTATCCACGATGCACTGGATTGAGTATGCTTTTAACAATTGCGATTAATGTGCTAACTTGCCAACTTGTTGCTCTTGGAGAGCTTCAAATGTAGAATTACAGGGTACAGCTGAAGAACAGAGCTGTTCTCTCCTGCAAAATAAAAGTTATAACGGGGGAGGGCAATCTTTGAGCCCTGATTCTCAAGCAAGTATTCTGTTCCCACCTTTATTTACGTCACACTTAGTCTGCATTGTTTTAATTAAATCAGGAAAAAATGGACAGTGGTGTCACTCTGTAAACGTTGCTCCAGTACTTTAAAACGTTTTGCCCAAAAAATTTAATCAGAATCAGAATCTGCTTTATTGGCCAGGTGTGTCTTGACACACAAGGAAATGATGAATATTATAATGCAGTTATCAAGGATTCCTAAATATTTGAGAATGCCAACTTTGTATTGTAACAAGCTGTTGCAATACATGGCAGTATACACCCAAATAGACAGATGTATTTCCACCGCTGTTATAGGCGAGAGGGGGTGACAAACAACCTATAAGAGAGTTTTTCTTTTAATGTGTCTGTTGGACACAGCTTTTGCAACCAATCGCTAATGAATTTTATTTGTTTTGTTACCATAGGAGTGTCGCATCGCACACCCGATAGTAAAGTG